CATTAAAGCCCAATTAGCAATACATATTTTGTTTTTCTTTACATAAGGTTCATAGAACTTTTAACCTAAAACTTAATTTGTTTACTTGAAGCTAACTTTTAATATATTTTAGGTATCCTGCATTGACTTATACAGGGTATACAGGGTGTATATACATTTATATTTAATTAAGATGACTAATTGATTCGTCTGAGATATCTAAACATGACCAGCAAGCTAACACAGATTAGATTATAGCTCAGGCAGATTTAACTGTACATGGAATCGAACTAAGTCGATGACACCGAGCCAAAGTCTTTAAAGTGTCAACACCTACTTTATTTACTTAAAATGTTAATCTTATATCATGCTCAGTAAAACGTAAGAAGGTTTTATATATATATAATCAGTATAATTTTGGCCTTTGATAAAGATTTTGTATTATTTTATATTATTATATTTTACTGCAGTCTTTTTATACCATTTTATACTTATCTAATAAATTATTAATCTTATATATTATTTTGGTCGAGAAGATTGGGTGAAATAAAAAAAATTCTAAATATAATATTATATTTAAAATTGATAAAATATCTCTGACTAAACCTTGCAATATTTGTAAAAAAAAATAAATAAATAAATAAATAAAAATGAAAATTTCATTATAATTTTGTTTATATTCACAACTACTTTCTCTTTCCATTTTTCTCTTAGACTCAATTTCTAATAATATTAAATGCCTATACGCTAGCACACAGACTAGAAAATCCAACATAAGAGATAACAGCTCAACATTAAGGGTATTCCCGCATATTTCAACCAACAGTTGTTCAATCAGACAATTAAGCTCTATGCTTAATTTGCAAGTATTTTCTTAAGTACACCTCTAATATATCGATGTGTGTGCACAACAAGGGTATTCCCTATTCAGCACAGTTAAAAATAGTCTCACTTATCAGCTGAGTAGCTGAATATCTTATCATAAAAAAGATAGAAAAATCGTGCGTAAATGCTATCTCGTGATTTAGCTGTGATGTCACAGATAGTAAATTTCGCATGATATGTGCAGATAGATATACACATTTATATATAGGTAATAAAAAGTCACGCAAGGTATTTTATTTTCCATTTAATTTACAATCATTTGTCAAGTTTTTGAGTGGCGCTCGCAAGAAAATGTGATTTTAATTAGCTCGCTCGCCGAGCCGCAAAAGAGTTGGGCAATAATATGCAGATATATTTATGGAAATGCAAATGAATGCGGGTGTAATAGAGGGCGAGGAGGAAGGCGGAGGGGTAGTAGGTAGGGCAACTGGAATGCAATGTTTGCACTGCTCTTGCATATTGTTCGCACTTCATTTAAAAATAACTTTTAACTTGATTAAAGAATGGCAACAACACGCGGCAAGTGGCAACAGGAAACAGCGAGTTGGCGCCCATTGTGGGCGGCGCTGGGCGTGGCAACAAAGTGCAAAGTGAAATCTTATGCAATTAACTTAAAGTCAACTTGACTTGAGAGAGGTGGCCAAGGGAGAGAGGTGAGGCGAGCCCGTTTGAAAAACTAATTGACATCGTTGCTCTGGCAGCGCTGACAGCTGGAGCTGCCAACTCGCTTTGAATATATATATATATATATATACATGAAAAAAACTAGAGAAAGAGAAAGAGTACGAGTATGAGAAGGAAAAGGAAAAAGAAGCAGCACAAATATTTTCACAATTTCAACTGCTGCCTGGTTGCCTTTGCTCCTTTATTTCTTCGCTTTTTTCTGCGCCCATTTTGCGCGACAGTTTTAATTTAATTTTAGCCCGAATTCAGAGCCATGTCGTTCATTGCAGGCGCCAATTTCAGCGCCACCTCAGAGCATGACTGACAGAGCAGCAGCGAGGGAGATGGAGTGAACGAGAGAGAGCGAGAGAGAGAGGGGGTGGAGAAGCAGAGATAGGTACATGCCAACACGGCGACTAGCAAACCCAGGCCAAACCATTAAAAAAGTTTAGTCCGATTTGAGCGCTCGCGCTTAATGGCCAAGATTTTAATCAGAAAATGAGTTAAAAGCCAGCTAGCTTCGACACGGCGACGTAGAGCTCCCAGATCAGCGCAGCATATGTCCCAGGTCCATGTCTGGCTTTGATTATTGTAGCGCTTATGCGCAATTACTTGCATACGCTGACATGGCACATCCATTGGATGCAGTTGCTCCAGCAGCGCGGCACGGCAGCTTCGCCAGTTAAAAGTTTTGGTGCGCATTTAAAAGTTTTGATATGCGCAGCAGCGAAAAATTGCATTAGCCGCAACTGGCTGGGCGAAGAATCTAATGCAACACTTTCCGACAGTCGAAAACTTCCGCAGCGAGCAGGAGGGGAAGAAATGGTCTAGCTAGTCTTATGCAAACAATTGGACTGCTCTCGCATAGTCTCAGCTCTTAGTTTGGCAAATTTTAAGCAGCGCGTAAATCGGGGAATTATTGTTTAATATAGTGCGCCAGCAGATAAGAGCGAGAATATGCGTTCGCAAGCCAGCGAATTGCCTGAAGTGGAGCAATATTTTGTGCTAAGACCACATTTGATTTTGATTGGATCTTTATAAGTGTGCGAAACTTATGGATGAAATTAGTTAATGGAATTATAAACTCTTGACATATCTCCATGCTAAAGCTAAAGCATATGCTGAGCTTTATTTTTATATTTCTTAAACTTCTTTTCTCTGTATAAAATCTCATCTGTGCTTTGAAAAGTTAATTCTATAAAACACTTTTTACACATGCCCCGAGTAGGGTTTGCGACTTGAACCAGCCACGTTTAGTTCCGGATAGACTGCATGTTATCTGCTCATATCAAAAAGTCTCTTAGCACATGCTTAACCCCCTCGACATGTGCTGGCGCCTGTAAGAGCCTAGGCGATAATGCGAAACCTTTATCAAATATTCAACGAACCCCAACGAAAAGCAGCTTTTTGCCATTCCTATTAAATTACATTTTCAACAGGCCCCAAACATGGTTGTTGTTTATTAAATGTGTGATAAGGTGATAAAAAAAAGTTTCATTTGTTTATATTGTTATTATTACTATTATCATATTGCTAGCGGTTGCCATGGCAACAGCGACCATTCGTTAGACTCAACTCGACTTCTTAGGCAAACTGTCAAAATGCAAATAAATGTAAATTCAAAAAACTATCAAACGAGAGCTGACAAGGTGCTTAAAGGCTTGACAGTCTTAAGCTAGATTTATTGTATTAATTGAACACAATTAAATGGAACACGGAGCTTAAAGCACTGCAAGGTCAAAATATGTGTACATATATAGATATGTATTTATTTCCTATATCAGTTGACTCAGCAGTGGAGCGTCGAGCAGTTCATTACTAATTCCATTGCATGGGTGGAAAAGTGTTCCATTGCATGGGTGGCAGAGTGTTCCATTCGAGTGGTTTCAGCGTGAAGAGCGGCGGCAACGTGCTGCAATTCGAGCCACTGCACTGTGTCTGCGTCTGGGTGCCATCGCTGTTTTGGCTCTGGCTCTGGCTCTGACTCTGCTGTCCATCTCCCGACGCTTGTGCTTGGCAGCCGGGTCCAGTTTGCGTCTGTGTCTGTTGGCCATCCGACGAGGTTTGCGTCTGAGTTCCGTTGCTGTTGTCGTTGCATTGCACTTGCACTGGCAGCGCCTGTTAAAACGGTGTAAGGTTTAGCATGAATCTGGTGCCTCAGTACTTTTTGGGTCGGTCAATTCTCATTACGTTGACGGCGGACAGCAGCAGGCAAATGGCCATGGCCAAGAGGCAAACACTTTCAATAAATCTCATATTGAACGTTTCACGGCCGAAATTTCCAACTGAACACAATTGCTTTCTGTGCGGCACTTTTATAGCCAAAAAATAAAGCAAAAAAATCGAAATTGTAGTAAATAACAACAGTAAATTGATCCTACGACAATCGAAATTCCAACGGTCAGTGATTTTTTGTTATGCTTCTGAGGGCTTTGATAAGATTGTTTTTTCATATTTGATTTTATTTTTTGTCAGCTTTAGATTAGAAATTTTTAGAAAACTGTAAAAATCGTTTAAGTTATGGGATTACTTGATTTAATATGTATGATTGGAAGTAAAAGTATTCGGGGGATGTTCCAGAAAACGTTTACAAATAATAAGACAGTCAAAGGCAGGAAGAAACTACGCTGCTAAAACAACTAGAAAATTGTAAAATATTTACAAAATAAAAAAAAATAAAATAATAAGAATAAAAAACTAAAAATAAAAAGTTTTTCAATATTTTTAATTAATTAATTTTATTACTTATTTATAAAAATAAATATTATAATTTTTTTTGTTATTTATGTAGATGAATATTTTTCATTATTTTTTAAATTAAATTTAATTTTAATTTATTTTATTATTTTTTTTTATTATCAAAGAACAGTATTCATTTTTTTTAAATTTTCTTTTTAATAAATAAAAACAGTGTTTAATATTGTAAGCAGAAGAATAGATCTTAGGCATAAAGAAAACAGTAGAGAACTAAATATAAATTTTATGTTTATTGTTATTCCCAATATTGTATTTATATCAAATTAAAAAAAAAAATTATGGTAATGTAAATATTTGGAGCAAAATGTTGTCTCTCAAATAAAAGCCAAAGTTAACAATCAGCTTGACAACTTATAGCATGAAGAGCTACAGTCAGGTGCTGTGCCTCTGACAGCTCAACAATAAGCTGGAGCTGCCAATTGGTAGAGGCAACACCCTCAACTATTTCAACAATATAAAGAACTATCAAGTGACAGCTAATTGACAGCTTAAACAGCATTTTTTCGACTTGGCTGACAAAGAGAGTTGCCCAATTTATGTGCTCTGCAAAGTTGCCGCATTTGAGCGTTGCCAGACATTGCAACAGTCGACACTTGACTGGCGTGCCAGAAAGAGAGTGAAATGCTTGTCAAATGCAGTGTCCGTGCCAAGCCACGAATGATAACGAAATGCAGCTTCACATTGTTGGTTTTGTTTTTTAATAAATGCTCATATATTTTTCTATATTTTATTGAAATAAAATACACTTTAGACTGTCACTGTAGTTGTTGACTCGCTAACAGTCGAGCCGGTAGCACTGTCATCGCTAGTCGTAGGAGAACTTTGCGTAGTGCTCTGCACTGGGGCAGCTGTCGATGTGGTTGGCACACCGTTCTTCAGGCAATTGTCGAGCAGATCGTATGTGGCGGCCGTGTCGCGCACATAGTTGCTCTCGGTGGTATTGGTGCACTGATATTCCAGATCCTGATTGGCTTTGATGGACTCGGCCAGAGTGTTGGCCGTGCTGGCCGCATTGGTGGCAATATCATAGATGATGGAGACATCGGTTTGAGCCTAAAGCGAGATTAGTCAGAGTTATTTCTTGAGAGTACTTCTTGGCTTCCCTTCACTTACGGCCTTTGCGTAGCAGTTGAAGAAGGTGGTGCTGTCGTTGCTGGTGCTGTTGTTGCAGCTGCTGAAGGCAGTGCACAGGCCATCCACGTCCTGCTTGTAGATCTCCCGATCCTTCTCAGCCTGCGCTGTCAAATTGGCCAGCTCATTGTTGTAGGTGCTAATGCAGGCCTGATACGAACTGGAGAATGCGGCGGCCACCTCGTTCAGCATCGGCAAATACAGGGCGAAACACTGTGCGGTCACATCCGCCGAGACCATGTCCAGCCTGTTCGTCTGCACCAGATATTTATCCAGGGCGCCTTGCAGCTGCGTCTGCACTGTGCTCGGCTTGGCCTGCAGTTAACGAAATTGCACTTGAAATTGTATTCTTGATTATTTGCTAATCCCACACACTGTCAATTACTTGAGCAAAGATGGCCAAGATGGCCAGCACTAGAACGCTGCAGAACTGCTTCATGTTGAGACTCTGTACGGTTCGTCAAGCACTGTAGATAGAGCGCCGTGGGCGCTTATGCTTTATATATGGTGCGAGGCGCTGGCGAATTCATTGCGGAATGATTGATGCATTCGCAATGGTGAATTTTTGCTCAAATTTATTGTGTTTAGCAAGCCAACAAAAAAAATAATAATAATAATAAAATAAAAACAAACTGCCTCATCAGGTGAAAGGTGTGTGTGAAGCCGATCAATTAGGTGGCATTAAGTCGAACCGAAACGGAACCACAAAGCGCCTCATGCCAGACGCCACAAATTGCTTTGCATGTGCATTTATTTATTTATTTATTTATTTTGTGTTTGTTTTGTTGCTGTTGTGATGCCCACGTAACAGGCGAATAAGGCTGTGACCCTGTGGGCCAAAAATAGACAATGAACCGCCCATTCGACTGATAAGCGCCCCCAAAATGCGTTCACACTTGCCCCAGCCCCAGCCAGCTCGAGCGCTTTAGCCCGGCTAATGAAATATTAAGCCAATATATGCGCCAATGTGTCTACGACTCGATTGTTTTGGCTTATCGGCTTTAGCATATCATATGCTATCGCCTTCATAAATAATCGAAAACTATGCCAAAAATGCGCCGCTCGGCATTTCGAGTATGAATTGTCAAAGGCAAATATAATAAGGCTGCGGATTAATGAATAATAATAAAATATGCAGAGGCGAATTAATATGGGCAATGTGCATATGTTAATAAGTTTATTATAGTTGAATAATAAAAAAATATATATATAATGAATAAAATCAATGATTACGTATATTTTAATTTATTTAATAAATTAAGAAATAATTTAAAAACTATTTTTTTTTACAACTTTTATTACAAATTAATATTGTAGATTTGTTTTATTTTATTTTTTAATATTTTTTAGGGCTTTAAATAATATTAAATATATTAAATACTATTAAAATAATAATATAAATTAATGATTGGTAAGAAGAAAATTGTAATTTTTAAATAAAATTTGTTTTTATATTTTTCTATACGAAAAAATTTATATTATATTTATATTATATTTAATAATCTCAGTATAAAAATTCTTGGCATTTTAAATTTAATTATTTATCAGAGAAGTGTACAAACTATTTAATACCTATCCAGCTGCTTCTCTGTGTGCACCTGAATGCCTACACTTCACTCGCCTCAAATATGAGCAGCAATTATATCATGATATCCAAAAAGAACTACTACTACTAGTACAGTGGCATACAAAAGTATGCTGCACACTTTCAGCGATTCACAGTTGAAGCAGCACTGTAGGGCTTTAGTACGATTTTTTGTAGATAACAACAAAGCGGAGCGACTAAACGTGAACTAAAAAGCCATGAATCAATGTCATATTAGCCAAATAAGCCCTACGCCTTGAACCTTATTATTATTTCTGCAGTATCAGGTTGTCGGCCAAGCCAAACAGACGCACAGGAAACATGAAAATTGTATTCACAATTTTGCTGATTACCCAATTGCTGGTAAAAATTACAAGGGATTTTCCCCTTTTTGCTTGAAAATTGAAAAGTTATATATACACATATATATATATATATATATATAGAGCCTAGAGCAGGCGGAGACATCCCGTAGTCTGGAGAGTTTGGCGGACTATTTGGAGCATCATGATTTGGCTGGAGCGGGCAATACGAAGCAATGTTTTGCCAGATATTTGCCGGAGCTGGAGCAGGTAGGCCTTACCTGGTCGAAGGCATACGCTGACTGCCAACAGCAGGCGAAAAGTGGGCGTGACACCGTATTCAGCCAGGTGGGTGGCATGCAGCAGCAGATACGGCAGGCAGCATTGCGCATAGATGGCTACATAGGCAGCTGCCTGAACATCACCAATGTGCTGGACTACTTCGATTGCTTTGCCAAGCTGGTAAGTCGAGTGCTGCAGCGAAGCGACAACATGGCCTAATCAACAACTTCCATTGGCAGTCCAAGCAGCAGCTCATGACGATGTACAACATCTCGTTTAATGCGTCGGAAAATGCGCTGGCTCTTACCAAACAGCTGAATGGCATCGACGAGGAGCGTTATCTCTGCACGAATCGCACCGAACGCAGCTATGTCCTGGACACAGCAAAGTTATTCGATGCACTGGACAAATGCCTGCAGGATGCTGCGAAGGTGGCCTAGGCCATAGGCAAAAGTCTCTATCCAAATGCTTTACTAATATATATCTATATTCGATTTTGATGCTTCTATATGTATATATATGTATGTCTATATGTGTATATGTGTATATGTATGTATTGATCGATCAGTTCGCATCCATTGCGGCCACCTCTCTGCGACACTCTTGCAGCTCCTCGTTCGCCAATCGCATGCTGCCTATATACGCCACCTGGGCATCGAGTGTGCACAACATCAGCGTCTGCTGCACTGCATCGAAGTCCTGGCGCAGGCGTGTGTGGGCGCTTGTTGCATTGTAATTAATGGATGTCATCAGGTCCAGATTCTCGTTGCCCTGAAAGTGCATGAGACATGGATTAGTTGAGGAGCTTTACATTGAGCCTTGAAGAGAATTAAAATAGACTTTCGAACGTATAAAAACTGAAACTTAACCTGGAGCTTTGAACCTATAGTTTATAAGTGCCGAAACTCAATTGATCCTATAAAGTTATCAGCTGGCATGGCATTTTTATCATTCGACGGCAGGCGAAGTACAATTAATGTTTTCATTAGCTGGGCTTGAACTACAGTTTAGTTTTTATGAGAAGTAGTTTTTATAGAGAACATAAACATTATTAATGAACCCCAGATAATAAACTGATCTATTTGACATTATTCTTAGATCTTAAGCTTGTAATGAGCATTTATTTAGGACTATTTTAATAAGTTTATATTCATAAAAGCTTTTAATATGATTTTAAATGAAAGTATTTATTTTTATGTTAACATACTTCCAAAACTCCTTTTAATTTTATTTTTAATATTTAAATGCCTACTACAACTTCCATCGTAAATAATGTTGACAAGAAAATAACAAACCAATGTTTTTGCCAACAATAAGTTTACTGATAAATTTCTAAATTTTTCCGCTTTCAAGCACTTGAGGTCAATGTATGAGTTGTATGAGTTGATTTAGATTAAAAGTTCTATAAAAACTGCCAACATTCAGGTGGGGTTGTTACGCCGCATAGCATAATTAGATTATTAAATGTAGGCATGCTTCCAATGGCTGTTTACTATCAATAGAGATTACATTTATGGATTCCATAATTTAAAGTATAAGTTAAGCTCTTAATGGGGCATTTATTAGTGTACGATTAGAGAGCTAGTGCTCTTCAAATTTAATTGCACATATAGTAGGTCTTAGCTACTGTTGCCTAGAGTATAGCACTTACATGATCCTTGTGGCACTCCAAATACTCGAGATCGTCGTCAAGTTGATTGCACAGCTCGAAATTGCTGCACAATGCGCTGTGGCCCAACCGGATTTGCTCACGCTCCAGCTGGACATCGATGGTGAGATCGATCTGTGTCTCATTCGCTGTCAGCTCGCATCGCTCGTACTCGATGGCATAGACGCTCGAGGCATTGGCAAACGCCTGCATGTACTCCGTATGACACTCGTCGAGCGTCGAGTCGGGCCATGGAATGGGTATGCCTGCAGTCAGACCTGGAGTCGTGTCGCATGCTCCACGCATGCAAATGCCCATCAGCAGCACAGCAGTCAGAGCGGCTACATGCTGCTTCTGTTGACCGAGTAGTTGCAGACGGCGTCGACTGGTCTCGCCGACCAATTGATTCTCAACTTGTACCGCACACATTTAGCTATAAATTGTGAATGGCGCTTCGAACAGTTTGCCGTTTCGATTGAGACTCGAGTGTTATTGCTGAAATTCTGTATAATTGACATTTCCTACTAATTCACACAATCAAACAGTACAACACATAAATACAATTTGAGCAGTAGTAGTATATAGACTATTATTGATAAACAATTGGTCGACGGGCAGAAACGTACAAAATATAAAATCGATTGTAAATTTACCTTGCAATAAAAACAGATAGAGCCACGTGGGTGAGCTTAAAAAGTTGAGAGATGAGCGCCGAGTCTTACAAATGCAGCGACAGTTTAAGAGCATATAATAGACACCACTAGACTTAAGCAAGACTCAGGGTTTAAAGCCCCTGACACTGAAGTATAAAGAGTATTCTAAAACGAAAATTCACTCACAGTAGATGAAGTGCAATTAGTTTCTGATCGTTGCTGATCCATCCATTCTACACAGAAAGAAAAATTAATCATTTGTTCAGTCATATGAACTATTCATGTGATTCATACTTTCCCTAAAGTAGGATTAATAACGAACTATATGCGTTTCCAATCATTGAAAAATTAGAATTTGTTATTGAAAATTATTATGCATAGCCATTTATCTTATCATGTCATAAAAATACCTATATACCATATACATGTCTTCGCTTATTACCTGAGTATGCAAACAACTGATAAGCTTAATGAATGAATTGAATTTCTTTCCATCCTAAAAGTATGCAGCCCCTCCACTCATTTCATTACATTCAACTATTAATAAATTATGAATTCAAAGGTTTTTTTTTTTATATACGACGAACCATGCTAGTTCACTTTACAATCAGGGGCAAGTTTAGAAAGCACGCTTTAGCTTATTCATAAGCTTGCTGAAGGTCAACGACAGCATATGGATGTCCTCTTCTGGCAACTCTTCTGTAGTGATTATTTGGGGTTCGGTAGTATCGGTAGTGACAACTGGAGCCTCGGTTGTGTCGACTGGAGCCTCGGTAGTTTCAGCTGGACCCTCGGTAGTGACAACTGGAGCCTCGGTAGTGACGACTGGAGCCTCTGTAGTGACAACTGGAGCCTCGGTTGTGTCGACTGGAGCCTCGGTAGTTTCAGCTGGACCCTCGGTAGTGGGGACAGGAGCCTCGGTAGTAACAAC